CAGAAATAATATTTAAAAATTCACTTCGAAAGTTTAATCGATGTGCACGCGACGAAGATTCAATTTATAATGACTCTTTGTTGCTTAACCTTCACGTGAATAGTCTTTGTCAATACTTTCAAAAACACTTTTTCTATTACAGCAATCAATAACAACATTCTAATTTTTGGGTTTTATTTGGTTAAAATTTTACAATTTTACAATTTTATTTTAGCCCCCATTAATTTAAAGCAACAACAAATACTGTGATTTCTATATTTTTTACAAAATGGAACGTTTGCACGATAGTTTCGAACTTATAATTCTATTGATATGTACTAAACGCCAATTTATAAGTCTGTGACATATAACACTAATTTATGTGAAAAATAATTATATTACAGTCAGAAATTAAATTGGTCGTTTTTTAAGAATAGCTATGCGAATAAGAAAACGTTCACGTTTAAGTCAATAATTTCCGATGTAGATGTAACATTATTCCACAGACGAAATCGTTCGAGCTCCGGCTGATACGAAAACTTACGAAAATCCTCTAACTCGTTTATTTTGCTAGTTTAACCATTTCGTCGAGTCAGAACAGAAATGTGGCAACTATGTGAGACTTTTTAGGTCTTGGCAACTATGCTTTTCGTCAGGAAAACTTGCCTGTGTCCCTTTAATTCGTTTTTCTTTCTTCATTATGCACAATAACGAAGACAAAGTGGGTGAAACTAATTAACTCTCTCACCGATTTTGATACGTAAGATAGGCTGTGACACAAAAATGGTACGATTTTGAGGACCGTATTACCATGGTCGAAAGAAATTCAAATTGGATGCGTGGTCTGTTTATATATCTCGTCTGTGCTTTTATTGACTCAATTTATTATGCTGTTTATAAGTTTGAGGTAAAAAAAGGTTAGGAATCATTGCTTGAGAGGTTAAACTTCACGATTAGAAATCTAGATTAGAAATGTAGATGTACTCCAATGTAAAATCATTTGAAAACATATTTTTTGAATTTGACAGCAATGATGGTTAAAATATTTACGCGAGGGGGAGGAATATCTGCCATTTCTAAGAAATTCTTCTTTCCAACGTTCCATGACAAGATCCATTTTGCCACTTCCCTTTGGATTTGTTGCTCCGTCGTGTTGCTTTTCTGAATGTTTCCTTTCTGAAGGATGCACTTTTCATAGAAAGTGTACTTGACAGTTACATCACCGAACTGACGAAAAATCGAGCAAAAATCCAGCTACACCGAGATTGAAGTTCACCTTGCGTGGTTTACTACGTTGCCATCGAGTATTTACAAACCATTTTTCCCCAATTCACAATTTTTTATTGAGAACTTTTTTTTTTTGTTGAGAAATGGAGAAGATTTTTATTGAGATATCTTCAAACAATTCAGGTTTGTGATACATCCGATACATCTTTCTTTCTTAAATTTTTGAAAAGCATTTTTATATACGTATTTTTTTGAAATATTGAGAAAGAAAATGTGCAGAAAATTAGGAACTTCCATTTACAGAAATTCGAACTGTAGATTTTGAAACTACGAATGCTAGTTATCATATCACAAAGATACAATATTTATAGCTTCTTCCTTTTTAAATTTTACAAACATCATATCCAGTATTATATATCCAAAGTTCAATAAAATGACAAAGAATGATCATACAAAGTTTTCGAGGGTCGTTGGAAAGAAGAGGCTTCTTCCAACACGCACCCTTCTAAGAAAAATATTTTTTCAACATTTTTACATACTATGACAATTCATAACATTTTCGAGAAGAAAAGTATCTTCGTTTATCTATCCACTACGTGATGTAAAAATATTTCAGAATAAAATGAACGATGCAAAAGCAAAAGCTTCGCCCTTTAAAATGAAATGAAAGGTTTATTCTTGCACGATTTTGTTTTGTAAAATTACAACAAAACATTTAGTTAACTAGACAATTAGTGCTTATTTAGTGTTCGAATGTTAATGGGAGTCGCCGTGTTTATTACTACTGTTAATGAATATTTGTTGCGAGAGTGACAGAATTATTATATGTGACGAGTAGTGTAATTGAGAGAATAAATCTAGCTCTATTTATATCTTTCAAATGAGAAGAAAAATTGAAAAGAAAATAGCAGCATATCCCGGAGTACATAGAGAACTTTGAAAACACAAATTGTAGCATTTTGAAAGCAACGGAAAGAAATACGAATTATTATACGTTTACCAATCCAAATTTTTGATCGGTACTGGATATTCGACATACGATTTTTCCCACGTAAATGCAATTTCTTCAGAGTTCTGCGACGTGGTATCTTTCTAAACACGCGTCCAAGTTTCCTTCGCTTATGCGAACGTCGTTTCTTAAGAAACCGATCGCACCTTCTTCTAATCATTCTTTTCCTCGTTCTACTTTCCAGTTCACGACCGGCGCCTCGGTACCAGTTTCCATGAACAAAAGGGGTAGCGTGGTGTTCTCCTCGGCATTCCAATTCAATTATAAACTTCCGTCGAACTTGTCGGAGCTCGAGCCTACAATAATATCGGCCAGGCAGTCGAGGGACTTGAATCTGCAGGACACTTACGCGGCCATCGAAAATTTATTGAATCGGTGAGAGCATTCCGCGATTTCCATACGCTGCGGGGGAAAATCGAAAGCCGGGGTGGGGAGGGGAGGGGAGGGGAGGGGAGTGGTACGAAACGGGGTCAGTTGTAAAACGGGTGGAAATTCAGCGGGTGAGTCGATCCGAGATCGTTCAGAGTCATGGAACCAATGACGGATCCAAACACCCAGTCCGGGAAGAATAAGCGGTCCATGTTACCGTTCGGAATTGCTCGATGAATCGGTAAACACGCTCGAAGCGAACGAATAAATTCGTAATTAACTCGACACCGGAATCGGAATCGAGATCGTTCCCACGGGCGGTTAATGAAATTCCATTTTCTAGTCGAGAATCATCCAGCCGTGATCCGCCACATTCGTGTTTATCACCGATGGCACGCACAATGGCCGCGTAATTGCGCGAAACAGACGGGAAATGAAACTTCGTCGTGTGTGTATGAGCATTTCGAAGCACGTGAGTTTTATTAGAACGATTATAATTTTATTACGCACGTTCTTCGTTGAAATGCCTATGAAATGTCCGAATGGAAGATACGATCGTGCAGGAAAGAGTTTTTCGGTCAAGTTCAAGGTATTCCGCGATATTTAGAAACACTTATACTCGAGGAACAGACTCTTGTAAAATTTAAAATATGATATAGACATTTGATGACAATACAATACAATGTAATACAAGTTTAATATAACACGGCACAAATGTAATATAAAATTTTCAATTCGTAATTGAAATTCATAATTTTATCCTCGAAGTATTTAATAATTATTAGATTGCAAATTAATTGAAGAAACGAAGCGTGAATATTTGCTTCACTTACCAACACTCTGCTTCGGACAGTTTACATACTATTTTTACATGTCATGTGTATATTTTGCACCTTGAAATTTGTCGACCATTGTCCACTGTCTAATCATCATACGCGCGTATCGAAAAGAATTATTGGAACATTTAGAAAAGATCGGAGTGCAAAAGCGCCGCAGAGTGAAAGGATTTTGGAAAATCAGTTGAACAATATCTGATGAAAAGAGATGTTAATCTCTGTAATTGTATCTAATACAATTACTTGGGGCAGGTCAAGAAGGGACATTTACACAAAGAGCGCGAGCGTGTATTAGAATAGAATACTAAGATCAAAGAGCTGGAGATAGGATAAGGGTGAAGATGGGAACTCGAACGTAAATTAATTGGGACATAAGGCAATTACTTTGTCTTAAGAGAGAGACAGAGAAGGCTAGGTAACAAGAGAACAACGATCTCGCTTCGGGAAGATGGCGTGGAAGTTAAGAAAGTGTCGGAACTGACAAGTGGACGCGGTGTCGCGTGGAATGGATCGTTAGATGGCTCAATAGGGGTGAATCGGCTGTCGCGGTTCTTTCATGGGTTCTTTCATGGGATTTGTCGAGGTTTCTGGTCAGTCTAGCCGAGAATTTCATTGTCTGGGAACAGCAAGCGGAAGCAACGCTTTCATTAATTACCAGCCTGACACTGTCCTTTCTCGCTTTTCGCCATCGTCGAGAAAGAATCGTGAAATTCGCGATGAGAACGAATGCTTAACGCGTAAATGCTTAGCGCGACGAACGCTCAAACTAATTCGAAATTTGCATCCGTTCCTCGAGTGCGGTAACATAATTTCGTTCGAGTCGTGTCGTCGAACAGGAAAAGGGGGAAGGAGGATAATGAATTTCTCTTGGCTAGGAACTCAGGGCGAGAAAATACGGGACACGCTTAAGAATTCCCTTTCACCGTTTTATAAAACCAATATCATCTCGCGGTGCATCGTTCGCCACCGTGTGACTTCGTAATAAAATTACTTCGTATGCCGTGGTCGAATTACAAAAAAAGATGGGAAACGCGGCGAGAAGTAACGGGCGAACAAGAACAGGCAAACCATGGGGAGTACATGAGTTCGTGAAAGTAGGGGAGGAAGGGAAAATGCTCAGGATTTGTCTCAGAAATAACCAAGCGAAGAAGAAAACAAGAAATTCGTCATTGAAAAATTCATTTCTCTTGCAGGATAGATATCTTTTGCGCAAGTGACATGCAACAATGCGATAATAATATCTATAGGCTGTGACAAATAAAATCCTTTAGTTTCACGGCGTCACGATTCATGACTTTGGTTGTTCCAAAATATCTACTGTGATAATAAAATCACAAGATTTCTGTAACGATGGTTATGATAATAAAACAACTACCATCTCGAAAATCGTGCGAAAATGTGCGATAATAACGAAACTCGTCCAAAAATGTAATGGAGAAAGTGTTTAGTTAGACAACGAAACAGATAACTAAAGTAATACGGTGTTGAAAGAGAAAAAGAAAAAAAAAAGGAAAAGAAGCGTTATATTGAGATCCATTTGTTAATTATCTTTTTATCTACATTGCATATTCTGATTATATTGCTATTGGCTATATCGTATCCGGACTTAGAAGAGAAGAGAAGAGATGTGGATAGAATAAGGAAGAAGATGTGGAGGAGTACGTTGGTGTGTGAAAGTTAGTAAGACTGATGAGCTAGGAGCAGTCGACAAGATCATTGATAATTCTGAATAGGAAGATGGTCTTAGAAACCACTCGTCTAGCTGCCACAGAATGGATATTGTACTTGGATACTATAATAAATGGGTATTGTGCCAGTCGAGTGGTCAGATTTGAAGGCAGGGAATCTTAGAAAATGATGCTTCGATCCTTTCAAGCTGATTCCTATATTTAGCATACTACGAGATTGCCAGGCAGCCGAAGCACGGTGTAGAAAAACAATGATTATTAGAAATTGAATTATTTAGAGTGATTCTAGTTTTCTATGTTTATATGAGCTGTGATGGAAGCTATAAAAGCAAGCTAAGGATGAAAACTGTTGGAAAGTACACTCTTTTGTCGTACTTGTAGTGAAGCTATAGATAATCCGTACAGATTCATTAACAGTTTAAAGTCTCTCTAACGATAAGATAAGTCATTTAAATACGAATAATTCTGAAAACAAAAAATTATTATTATCTCCAAATTTTTCGCAAAAAGGTATATATACACGTTATATTTAATTTAACGGCTACTTCATTCCATAAATTATTTAAGAAAAAATTATTACAATGATTTGTGTCTTTCTGACCTCTGAGAATATTTAATAAGTACTTTGTTTATTAATTTGTTTATATTCGTATCAACGTATCGATGATAATAAAAACTAGTAACTCCATTTATATGAATTTATAATTATATAAAATTAATTAATTCAAACAGTAGGAGTTTTTTCTGATTTTTTCCTTATTTTTTTATTCATACATATAATAATAAATTAAATATTGATTAAACAATTTATTTTTGTATAATAATTCATAATTTCCGTTTCAAGCTCAAATAAATGAATTCAATTTTAAAATTGAAATTTAATCGAATACCAACTAAAATTTCGTTCAAACAACTTTATTCGTTTTTTGACGTAAACATTTCTGTTAGAAAACAACGTGACACGCTTACTCTCGTCGTTCATCGCAGTTTCAATATAAACGCAGAAAGAAACGAATCAAGCTGTTGTATTATCAGTCGCCGTGTATTTGAAATTTTAAAAATTCAACAACGTACAGAACGTAATGTACAAAAGTATATGAAATATCTAGATTCGATATCATATTCAGTGGGCGAGAGAACTCTTTGCTCAAGCTCAACTTCTATACCTGCGTTCGCAGAAATATAAACTTGTATAAAAATCTTTCCATCGATAACGTATCGAAGAGCTCTGACGAGCGTTCTCGACATTGTCAGCGCAAAGTAATAGTAATAGGAGTAATCGCGCAGCGAAAGTAATTTATCTCGAGTAAATGAATTACTTGCGTTTTGTTACTTGAAAAAGAATTTCTGAAAAAAAAAAAAAAAAGGAAATTCACTTATTCCCGAGTCGTAAACTCTGTAAACAGGCGAGAGGTCTTACAAAGAGTGGATATTAAAATCGAACGTATTCTCTGTTGAAGGTACGGTTGGCAAGACGGCAGGCAATGTCTTTTAAGGACCATTTGCGAGCTCGCGGAGACACCATTTGGCAGGACACGTCAGGACGTTCTCGAGGAGGTGATCCACTTAATTTTAACGTAAGTTCGTTGCGACGAATCGCGCTTTGACTTGCGCCGCCGAGAGAACAGCGTACCGGCTCCCGGTACTTTCCGAAACAAAATTCATTTCTTGAGGAGCTGCCGGCTAATGAATTCCGTTGGAAGTCTCTAATGGCTGTCCTGCCCGCTTACGATGAAATGAGACGACACGATGTCGCGTAACGAAGCACGAATAGACAGAGATAATGTAGTAAATTCACGTTGCACCGGCTACGGCATCGTTTAACCAGATTGGAATATTCCTTAGAATTGACGCGATCACGTGTCGTATTATTTTTTTTTTTCTTTGCACAAAGGAATATAAAAAGAAAAAAAAAACATTTTCGACTAACCTTTGATTTCTGGTCTTTGGCTGACTAATTAGCATTCTGGAAGTTTCTCAATTTCACGTGGGTCTTCGCCTGACAATGAGTGAAAAGTGTGAATGCAACGACAATTAAACAGTATCTAAAATTTTCAACTCGATGGCCAGAAGTCGAGTGTTGAACTGGACATTCTTAGCATTGGATCGAGACACGATAGAAATTTCGACACGCGAACGAATCGAAAGATTCGGTGAAAATTTCAACGACGCACAGAAGATCGAAATTTCGGCCAATTAATGGCCGAATCGGTAGTCGAACAGGTTCTAGGGGAACAGAGGAGGACCGGGCAGGAATTTGCCATTCCGCACGCGACCGCGCGTACTCGAAGGAAATTGCAACCGAGCCAGTGAGCGGTGCTCTAATTGCGACGAAGTTAGGCGCGTGCATTAAGCTTCTAATGGAAGGTGTTTCGCGTAGGTTTTCCCTTTGTGCGGTACCTTGGTGTGTACACACGTCACTGGGAAATTTCTCTCGACGTAATCCTGCAGCAGCATCCGCGGAGCAATCGCCGGCTAACGCCTGTCGAATGTCAATAACACCGCGGCTGCAGCTGCTGTTATTTACCATTCGAACAACTGCAATTTCCTTTGATCGGTCTTCGATGCTTTTTCAACCATTTCTTTTCGCGCCTTTTTCTTTAACACTTTCGCAGACAAGGAAAATGTTCACGGTTGTTGCACGATCGAGGCCTCCATTCGATCTATTCGAAGCATCTCGCGCATTGATATATACGGGACGATGAAAAATTGTTTCGACTGTTTGAAGTTGCTTTATCGAACTTCGAATGTGAAACGACGAGAAATTTAAGAAATCGTAACAATTGTCGGAACAGTCGAAGTAAAAGCTCTGCGTTTTCAAATATATGAAATTGTTGTATGATGATTTCTTTTTTATGAAGTTATGACAGTTTGAAGTATGCAAGACAATTTTTTATCGTTACGTATTTTTATTGAATACGGTCAAAAGCTTGGATACGTCTATTTGTTCATATCACATAGTTACTTTGCATGTTTAACATTAGGTACACAGTAAAATCTCTTTTGTTCAAATATTCTAATATCTCGTTATTATCATTTTTCTAAAATTTTTATGATATATATTATATTACGTATAATATAAAAATATAAATAATATTTTTACTAAGTGCTCTACTCTTTTGATATTTAAACAAATTTCTCCGTATTATAGATATATATTTTGTGTAGATTTTTGTAACCTTCCAAACAAAATTCTAAATTAAAGTACAATTAGATTGCAGATTTTTCGTGCATGCTTGAAGGTGCAAAAATGTATAAAATATTCAAAGTGGAATAACATTTAACAGGCGAAACAAAATTCTATTCGGATCTTACTTTTTTACTTATAATACGAAAAGTGCACTTCGAACGAGAGTCAGAGCATCGATATCAAGTGACGTTTGTGTTTGCGATTAGAGGAAAGATCGATAATCCGTGATTACTTCTACCTTAGCGCGCGCCATGCGGGAATCATTGCGAATCAAAGTGAAACGGGGAATTTCTCAATCAGGCCGAGCGAAGACTTGCCAGAATCGGGTAATTCCAATCACCGGAGCGTCGGCCAATTGTACTGGGAAGCGGAGCGATTGGGAAGAACCGGAGGCGACTGCATCTTTGCCTATCCCGATTGCATCGAGTCACCTCTCGAAGCGTTCACGGAGGTCGCAACCCCCTAAGGGACGTTTTTGAACGACAACTGGAAACCGATTTGTTGATCTTGCGATCCCATCGTTCGCGTATCGTTTATCGCCTCGAACGCCTTCGACGGTTGCCAGTTATCTGTTGAATTTTTTATAGACGCCGTAGAGCGTCTCCGTATCGCGAGCAAGTCGATACATTGTTCGAGGAATGATATTTCTATATGTTTCGAGGCGGTGAACGACGCAGTGACTTCATCGTAAAAGAATTTATTACAGAGGAGCTTCGACGGGGCGAGAAGGACGGCGACGATGGACCAGTGACTATGTAAATTTCGTTGTCGTAGCTGCCACGTTGTCCTAGAAAGCTCTATACGAGCTCGTCCTCGTCCTCGCCTTTCTTTGCGCAGCATAATTTCTAACGAAGTTTTCATAATTGTTACCGTTCCAGATACTCGCCATTCTCACGTCCCATGTAAATTTTCAAAAAGTTACCAGAAGTTTTCTTTACATTTCTTGACATTGATCAATCTGCTATGCACTACGGTTCATATTACCTAAATCACACTAAATTTGTAAAATATATCTGGAGAGTTACTCGCGATACTGATCAAACCTACTATCAACATTTATAAATATTTCCAGACTATTCCAGGCTTGTGGAATATACTTCAGATTAATTTCATTTCAACGTCCAATTTTATTTTAGGAAACCAAATACAATTAATAGACATTTATTGAAACTATAATTAATTTTAATCATTTCACGTAAACTGTGCTGATTCTAGTGTAACTTTTACCAGAAGTTATTTCAACAGTACGAAACTTTATAATTAGATATATGTATATTTATCAACACATAATCGTTTTCATAAGTCACTAATATAATTATCGAAAATGATCAAAAAATTATCGTCCCTGAAGAGTTGATATTACAGTACAGAACTTTCGTTTCGGTCCCAAGTTCTATTCCATACTTGTATACATTTACTTTTATTATTATAATTTTATTATTAAGAACAGGCTAAAATATCTGTGGGACATTTTGTGAAAGCTAAACGACAAACTACCGAAGTTTCGAGGGTTTTAAGGACGCACGATTTCACGAGACTCGCAGGGAAAAGGAAAAACGCTGTCGAGACATTGTTGAAAGACAAACTGTTGTAAAACAGAACGAGCGAGAATCGGTTCGAGAAAGGGACGAGAGGCTGGCGAAATAAAATGAAGCGCGATAGAAAATGGTGACAAACAGTCGTGCGAATAAAGAGAAATAGAGGTGGTCAGGGAAGTTTCCCCTGTGGAAAGGAAAATCGTTTCTTCGGTCTTATATCGCGTTTCCGGCCATTTTAGAGCGAGCCTCAACAGCGAAATTTACTTAGGACTTCTCCCATTTTTCCTTCTACAATACTCGTCTGCACTTTGGCTTCGAACGCCGACTGAAATTGGACCGGTTTACCCGAAAGGATATCACGAGAATCGACTGGTCTTATCGATCACTCTAATTCAATGTTAAAACATCATTGTCCAATTTTACAAGAAAAGTCGATTAGATCGATCCTTGATTTCGAACGTTACGATTCTTTTTATAATGCGTTTTACGTTGCGAGTAGGTGCATTACGTTTCACGTTGAACTGGAATCACTCGAACTTTTCAATATCTCGTTGAGAATTTTTAGTATATAAGTACTGGGTACGAACGCAGAAATTCAGCTATCAATTTTATTAACCAAAGTACACGCATACACATCCAATAGTTCGTTTCTTTTCTTTTCATTCACTTGTATTTTTATTCGCATATTGTTACATTACATCTGCTCTCTTCTTTTCAATCTTCTTCTTTCTTTGCCCACGCAAGATCAATAATACATTTTTAGAGGTTCAAACCTCTTATCATAAGTGTTTGCTCAGCTTGGCTTGATGATTAGACACACGAGTGACGAGAAAAATCATTTTACATCATTCTTCGAAATTTTCCATATTCCCTATTCGATCTATTCTATTTGAAGATCTGCAAGTAAGTTATTAGAATTTTCAACAAGCTTTTAGTTTAGTTTTACTATAGCGATTGCACGTTGAAAGACGCTCCTTCTTCCTGCGAGATGCTTCTTCTTACGATCTTGGAAAGATAGGAATTTCAGCAAGGGCTGTTCTACGTAGACCCGACAACTTTCCCGACAGTTCTACAGTTCACGAATAGTATATCCGACAGCATGTTGCCGCCTCGAAAATACTCGTCGTCTGCCTCTTTTGTTTATATATTTCAGTTCCTTTGTCATGCAGGAAGCGGAAGTTTCGGCCGCGCGATCTTCTCCTCGTTGAAACTTCTCTTTTGCCATTACTTACTTAGCAGTCGCTATTCTACTCATTCAAACCGTTTCGGACGTTCACCCATCTATTTTTCAGTATCCATTTTCTTCCTTTGCTCGTAATTTCAAAATCACTATGGCGAACTATTGTACTGTTTGAGGTAGAGATCTCGGTTTCACGTATACAGACACACGTGTAATTAATGCATTTAACACTATTGAAGTAACCAAAATGGCCAATTTCTGTAATTTTTCATAGAAATTTTCTAGATTTGTTACAATGTTTTTTGGAGATTTAATTGAATGATATTCTTGTATAATAGGCTGTTTGTTGTGTCATCAATCCTTTTCCTATTTCTTTCAATTATTATTTAGGGTCTCTGGTACAAGACTTGCACTTTTGTATCTTTCTTTTTGTCATTTTCTCCGTTTCGTGAATAAATGTACAATTAAAATATGTTTGATTTGAATTCTTTTACGATGCACAAAAATGAGACAAGAAAAATGGGTCTTGTCATTACTAAGACAATAGGATAACAAACGAATTCTATGCAATTACAAACACAAATATAACAAATCGTGTAACAAATTTTATAGATATTGAGGAAATAGATTTTTAACTCGTTAATACATGCTACACGTTAAAAATCATAGATTTTAATTTGAGCTATTCTAATTGAGTGTTTCATTAATTTTATTAATTAATAAATTAATCGAGTGTTTTATTAATTTTATTAATTTGAGTAATTTATTACTCGTGTTACAAGGAAAAAATTCGAAAGAAAAAGGAATGTGTATTTACGAAAAGGCTGCTGCGACAAAAGCAAGACGAAAAAACAAACGTATAGGATACTATACTTCGTGTGTATGTGTGCACTTTAACAGTTGACAAAACTGATTATTAAATTACTAAAAGCTTCTGAAAAGCACGAGTGGTGCTAATTCAACTGATGAACGACTGGTGAACGACCGGATGACTGAATCGGTCAAAAAGATCACAGTGTTTGCCTTTTTCATTAACGAATCGAGAACCAGTCGTCGAGGACGAGTTCTTCGAAAGACGAAGAGGAAAGGAATGGGGCCGGGAATGGTTGTCTAGCGAGTGGAAAATTAACTCGTTCGAGTGGCTACAGTCAGCCACGGAAGATTCGAGCGTAACTATGCCTCGAGTTGACGGATGACACGTTAATTTCGCGGAGGAACTGCAACTTCCAGAAGCCTGACGACTCGGCTGACTTCGGGGCTCGCGAGTTCCCTGACTAGTTGCGTGCCTTTGTGCTCCGCCCGGAAGGGCGAAATTGCCTTTGAGATTCGGATAGAAGGTTCTTTCATCTTTCTAGGTGAGTAAACTTGCGCGTGGCAAGATTCTCGACCGAATCTCAAACGATAAACGCCACACATGACCAGTTTGAACTATCTAGACTCTAATACTACGTGTTGCTTGCGATCTTTATCAATGTTCGCAGTCAGTATAAATATGATTGAAGATATGATGAAAAGTAAGCCAATGAGATGTTACATACGTATTTATACCGTTTTGCAATTGAAATAAATAAAGATTTAGCTTTGGTACACATGTGTACCAGGAGTCTCCAAAAGGTTAAGAGACTCACCTTTCAGTGTTATTTTATTTTTTATACGAATTGCTACAGCTTGAATGAGGGGATAGAATAAAATAATAATAAAAGGGGAGGCAATCTATTTTTATAGTACACCAGAAGCTTGTTTATTCGAGCACGTGGAAGATAATAAAAACACTCGGATAACCGGGGCTCACTAACTTTCTTCATATTTTACTTTTCATTATTAACGAGACAGTGAATCATTTTCGTTCATGTACGGCCAGAAAACGCAGAAACAAAGAAATGCCCGCCGTCTCATACGTGCGAGGTTGAAGGAATTATTGTAGCAGTTAATCTTCTGTTTTCTCTCGAACAAAGGAATCAACTTGCCAGACGAGAGAAGCGAAATAAATAACGGACGATGATGCTCGTGCCTTTGTTGCTTCTGCCGACAATGGCGCTGATCCAGGGTAACGAAGACGAGGAACTTCGCGAGAGGAGACAAGCGTTCTACCCCCCGCCTCTTGTTTATCCTATCGGTGGCACTTTCAAGGTATTTATTCATAGTTCGACGTGGCAGCGATAAAACTTGATAATCTCGTTTCCTTCGAGGCTGATGGGATTACTCGGTTGAAGGCGGTGCTGCTCGTTCGACGATTTTAACTCGCGCTAATTTGAATAACGTCTTCCGCGCCCGGCGAGGAACGAACGCGGCTCGCGATAAGCTTCCACGGAATAATTCATCGACGGCCATATTGATAATCAGATCTCGTAGGCCGTTCACGCGCGCGATGA